GTCGCACAACTGAAAAATCGCCCAAAATGGCCCAAAAACTGCACAGGTTATGCCCAGCTTTAGAGATAGGGTGAGAAGTTCGGCATCTGGGAGGGGCGAAGAGTAGAGCCACTGCTCCTCCACACTGAAAGGAGCCAGTTGAGGGTGTTCGGGCATGTCCCACTGGGAGGAGGCCCCGGGGCAGACCCAGGACACGCTGGAGGGATTATATCTCTCGGCTGGCCTGCCGGACAAGCTGGAGGAGGTGTCTGGTTAGAGGGAGGTCTGGGCTTTTCTGCTGAGGCTGCTGCCCCCACGACCCAGCCCCAGATAAGCAGAAGAAGATGGATAATACAATGCGAAAGTCATGAAAATGTCTGTTTTTTTAAATTATAGACTTTATATTTATAGACTTTTATTGTAATTTTACAAATCAAATCGGTGCATTGCAATGATGTGCAGTGAACCATGGTTAACACACCTAAACCTAAACCAGGAATCACCTAAATATTGAAGCATATGTGGTTTCACAACTGAGTAACTACACCAGACAGGCTGGTTGTCCACATCTGTACAATGTATTGTCCTCTTAGTACTGAGTGGATGAAGAGTTGGCAACTTTCAGAGGCAGATGCAGTTTCAGGAAATGCTCCCTCCCTAAACCAAGTATGGTATAAAGATCTGATTAGAACATTTTAGATGTAGCAAATTTAAAAAGGTACTCTCGTATGAGTTTAAAGAGGACATAAAAGGTTGTTTCAGCTGCTACACACTTAAGGCCAGCGTCGAATCTGAAAACCTTCAGTATTTCCACAGACAAAGGCATTCCTTTCTATACGTCAGTCTCAGAAGACATTACGTAAGTGGCAGATCTCAAACAACAGACATGGCATGTTAACTATGCAAGGTCTTTCCTCTAAAATTAGTAAAGAGGAGCTCTGGAGGAGTCTCCAGACGCCAAGTCATTACATTCTTACAGTAAGGCACCAGTGAGCGACCTCTGAGGGTGCCCTCTTCAGAATGACTCCCTGTGATCCTGCGTTAGAAAAA